AGCAAGCAAGGTTGTATCATCTACATATAGCAGGTTGTTAATGAGTCTTCCTCCAATCCTGATGCCACGCTTTTCTTCATAGAACCCAGCTTCTTGGATGATTTGCTTAGCATACAGGTTGAATAAGTATGGTGAAAGAACACAACCTTGTCACACACCTTTCTTAATTTTAAACCATTCAATGTTCCCATGTTCTGTTGGAACAACTGCCTCTTGGTCCAGGTACAGATTTCTCATGAGCGAGCACATTAAGTGCTTGAGAATACTCATACTTGGCAATGTTGTCCACAGCTTGTCATGAACCACACAATCGAAAGCCTTTGCGTAGTCAATAAAACACAGATCAACATCTTTTTGATATTCTCTGCTTTCAGCCAAGATCCACCTTTTTAGTATTTCCAGTTTTCTATGCAAATACGGCCCTCCCTCTCCTTGAAGACCTTCATGGCTGTGGCATGACAACTCTCCTGATTACCAGTGACTCCTGCTGGCAGATAGTAGAATTGCAGTCTAGTTCTGCGAGACCCTAAAGGTATGCTCCGGGATTTGCAAAGAGGGAGTTAGTATGCCCAGTTGGAGTAAAATGCTTCTGATCTGGATTTGGGCAGGGACCTAAGTTAAGCCTGGTTGAGAAAAGACCCTGAAGTTTAGAAGAGACAGAAATATTGAGAGTCTTACTCTCTTTAAAAGAATTGATTAGCAAGCGTTCTCAGATTTTTTTTTTTTTTAACCATTTGAGGAACTATCACATCAATATTATACTATGAGGCTTATGGTGGAACCCACTTTATAGGAACATATCTGCTCAGTTAGGGCTTTTTATACAGAATGGGGAGGGGCTGTTGCCTCCATTTGGAGTAAATTCCTGAGTCCCGTTTTCTCATGGAGCCCCTCTTCTGTGCTTCGGGCTTGGTCCTGATGTGAGGGCTGCAGCCAGGTGAGAGCTTTCTGTCACAGCCTAAACAGCTGGGACATGTGTTCTGTGACCAGGTGGCACAGTGGCTGGAAATGCCACCCCAGCCCCAGGACCCTGGCGTCACACAGGCCGCACAACCCAGCTCTGGGGAATTTGCCTTGCTCAGCTTTCCGGGAACCCACATCACAGGATGTGCACGATGACACGGCACTTGGCTCCCTGATGTGCACAGCTTGGAAGCATCTGGAATGTTATGAGATTGTGGGGTAGAACAGAGAGAGGCCAGACGCAGGAGAGTACAAGGCTGTCCGGGAGCCGGCGCCCCTCCATGACCTCCTCACTTCCCGGCTCTGCTGAGCCCAACGCCTGCTCACCCCAGGCCCATCTCAGGGGCCCGTCTGCTGGGACTGTTTGGAGGCGCCTTTCCTGACAACCCTGCTACCAGCTTCCTGGGTCCTCCTGCCCAGCTTGCCCTCCTGAGCAGGGCTCTGCGCTCCCCTGTGTGCCTGCAGGCTCTGCCAGAGGGCTCTGGTTCCTATTAAGTGTCCTGAGCGGGAATGCAATGGTGTTGTTAACACAAATAAACAGAGCCCCCAGGAATGTGGGCTAATTCAGGCAAGGGGCAGAAGCTACTGAACAAAGGCTGGCTCAGGTGAGGGTCAGAGCCTGCTCAGATGAGCCAGGCTGACCTCCGGGGCCAGGGCAGATAGTGGGGGGAAGTGTTAGGTGGCTGCTGCCTCTGTCGAGCACTGCTGGGGCCAGAGGTGTCGTCCTGCAGGTGGATGACCCTCCCCCGGAGCTGGTACTGCCACCCTCTCGTGTTCTTCACCCCTGGGACCAACTTTGCCCCAGGAGGGGGCCCTCTGTCTGTCTTCCTTACCATGCTCTCCCTGTGGGGAAACTGAGGCCAGGATCATGAGTGTTGTGGTATATTTCTAAGTAAACGAGTGCTTTTAGGGGAGGAGTTGCTGTCTGCAGACAGTGTGGCTCCTCCTTTGGGGCAGCTCCTTTGTCTCCACACTCCTGCTTCTCAGCAGAGCCAGCTGTGTTGTGTTGGCTGTGTTGCTCTGGGTCTCTCACATACAGTGCCAGCAAGGACCAGCCTGTTCGGGTACTTCCAGGCCTGTGATGAATGCAAAGGCAGTGACTGAGGTGATGGTCCCCAGCGACGCTTTGTGAATGGCCTCAGGTTTGTTCTGGGCCTGACACTGCTCTGGGCAGCTCTGCCTGGCAGAGGCCGGCTCTCCATGGCACAGGCTGCTTGCATTCTTGTGGCTTTCCTCCCGGCTCCGGCTGGATCCCTCACTAACCGCAGAGGCGGTTGCCAGCAATTTGATTGTAACCAAATCCCCTCCAAGGAGCTGGCTGCTGCTGCCGCCGGAGGCCCAGTGCCCATCCTGGGCCAGCCTCACCCTGCTCCCTGGACCAACTCCCTGGTTCCCTGGACCAGCCGAGGGCTGTGACCTCAGTTGGCCACCCTTGTTACCAGGCAGAGCCTTGTAGAGACGGGCTCCACCGCTGACCCTGTGGCCTCATCATGTGCTTCTGCTGGAGAGATGGGGTCCTGGGTACAGTTAGGTACCCTGAGGATAGCTTTGGGGTGCTGCCCGAGGTCCTCGTGCCTGCCGTCTCTAGACTCCAGGCTGACACCTGCCCTGCCCAGCCCTGGGAACAGCCTGCGTGTGTGTCCTGAGGATTGGGCAATCAGCTGTCCTGCTGGCAAGGGCAGTGCTGGGAGCTGGGACTCAGCATTCACAGTCTGCTGGCTGCCAGCTGTAACCGTCATCTGTGTCCTGGTCATAGGCTTTTCCCAGTCCTGAATGGCCGCAGTGACTGTGTGTGGTAGGGTTGCTGTCACCTCATATCACAGGGAAGGAGACTGAGGCATGAAGAGGCCTTGCAGCTCTCTGGGAGATGGTGATGCCTGTGTGCTGGCCTGTGATGATTTCAGTGCACAGGTCTCCTCCAGCTCTGAGAATTGGGCCCTTACCTGCCCGCTACCTCCCAATGGGAGTGGAGTGCCAGATGACCATCCCTCACTGTTAGACTGCCCTGGGGGAATTGTGTCCTGTGCTGGGTGGCCAGGCTCTGGAGGGACTGGACCATCCAGCAGAGTCTATGAGGACTGAGACTGGAAGGCCTAGCACCCCCTGCTGGGAGAAAGCGAGAATGCAGTGAACCGCAGGGGCATGGCATTGGCCTATCCAAAGCCCCTGCTCTGAGCCAGGCTGTGGATAGTAGAAAGGGCCTGGTGGGTCCACTGTGTCCCCTGCTCCGTGCCTGTCCTCCCTGATGACCTGGGACCCTCCCTGTCTCTCAGTCGTCAATTCCTGCACCCTTGGCAATGGTGGCTGCCAGCAAGACTGTGTCCAGCTCACGACGACGCGGCACCGCTGCCAATGCCGACTTGAGTACCAACTTCAGGAAGATGGCAAGCGCTGTGTCCGTGAGTCTGTCTGCCACCCGAGGTCATGCCCAGGGGTGGGAAGGGACCTGCCTCCCCAATGGACAACACAGCAAGGTGGCCCTGCTGGGGTCTTTAGGTATTGAGAGTGTGGGTGGGATGCTGAGTTTGGGAACTGGAAGGGTCTTTCCACATTCCTCAGGTCCTGAGATCCCTGGAGGGGTCCCATGCTGCCCTGCTCTGGGGCTGGTTGTGGGTCCAGGACACCCTGGGCCTGGCCTTGACTAGGGGCTGCCAGAACCTTCTGGTATTTGTTCTGGGGTCTCTGGGCTGCTCATCCCAGAAGGAAGGGGCATAGCTGGTGGAGAAGGTGGGGCAGGTGCAGAAAACCCTTGGTGTGGAAATGAGGCTGGGGGGCGGGCAGGTGATGGGAGCGTTCCCCCCACCATCGCTGGATCCTCCCCACCACAAGGGTGGACATGGGAGGGGCCAAGGCCAGCTGCAGGGTGAGTGTCATGGGGTCACAGGCTGAGAGAGGCTGGCTGCTCAGCTTGTCACCTGGGCCTGTTTCCTGTCATGGGGTGACACTCCCAGGAATCCTGGCTCCTGACGAGAGTGGGTGTTGGGGAAGCAAGCTCGTCCGAGTGGCAGGTCTTCCCAGGGGTGTCCACAACCACAGTGAGGGTGGGGGGGGACTATGCCTGGGGCCTCACCTGGGCCAAGTTCACCCTACCTTGACCTCTGTTCTCTGCCTGCAGGGAGAAGCCCATGTGCTGACCGAAATGGTGGCTGCATGCACACGTGCCAGGCCCGCCGAGGCTTTGCCCACTGCCAGTGCCACGCTGGCTACCGGCTGGCCGAGGACCGCAAGGCCTGTGAAGGTGGGCCCACCTCTGCCCTGCATCTCATTCTGCCAGCTTTGCCCCTGCCCCCTTGCTCTGTTGTGCCCTTGCCTTGTTGCTCCCCTCCCCCTCCATGCCAGTCTGTCCCCTGACCGCGGAACTCCCTCTGCCCTGTGCACTGGCCCACCCAGAGTCAGCTAGCATGTTCCTGGCACTAAGTAGGGACCTGTGTCTGACTCTAGACTGGTCCAGCTGTATCCTGCTGTATGGGGCCTTTGGGAGCAGGGCTGGCCTGTCTAGTCACCCTCGGGTGACCCTGGATGACGCACGGGCTGCTTGGCCCTAGCTCATCTGTGCTGGGGAAGGAGGGGCCCAGGGAGGGGCAGCAACATGCTCAAGACAGCTGCTTCACAGTGGCGTCTCCTGTCAACATGAGGAAACAGGAGATCCTGGGGTGTGTGTTTGTCCAATGGGGACCGTGAGAGCTGGAACTCAATGAGAAGGCCTTGTTTCCCTGGGCCTCACATGTTTTCTGCCTCTGACAGGGATCAGTCACCACTTATTAATTGCTTCTATATTTAGTGCCTGGGGCATGGCAGACCTTTGCAAGATCTACAACGTATTCATTCTGTTGTGCATAAGGTCAGTATGAGCCGGAACTGACTTGATGGCCTCTACCAACGACTTGTTGATTGTAAATACCTTTTTCAACAAGATAAATTGCTGTGCACATGGGCGTCATAGGATAGAATATTCAGGAATCAGATCCACTACATCTGTGGGAAGAGATGATGGAGAGGTTCAGCATCACCAGTCAGAACAAGGCCAGGACCCGACAGTGGAGCAGACCATTAATTGCTCGTATGCAAGTTCAAATTGAAGCTGAAGGAAATGAAAAATCCACAAGCACCAAAATATGGCCTCAAGTATATTCTACCTGTACTTAGAGGCAATTTTAGGAACAGATTTGATGCATTGAACTCTAATAGCCAGACTAGATGAGATGTGGGATAACATCAAGGACGTCATATACGAAGAAAGCAAATGGTTACTAAAATGATTGGAAAGAAAGAAAAAACCAAAGTGGGTGTCAGAAGAGACTCTGAAACTAGTTCTTGAACATAGACTAGCTTAAGTGAAAGAAAGAAAAGGTGAAGTAAAAGAGCTGAACAGAAAATTTCAGTGGGCAGCTCAAGAAGACTGCAAGTAAAGTATTCTAAACTGTGCAAAGATCTGGAGTTAGAAAACCAAAAGGGAAGAACATGCTCAGCATTTCTCAAGCTGGGGGAACTGAAGAAACAATTCAAGCCTCCAGTTTCAATATTGAAGGATTCTATGGGCAAAATATTGAAGGACTCAGGAAGCATAAAAAAAAGATGGGAAGAATGTATTGGTCAACATTCAACTGTTTCAGGAGATAGCATATGATCAAGAAGTAACTGTTTTAAAGGAAGAAGTCCGAGCTGTACTGAAGGCATTAGCGAAAACCAAGCCTTCAGGAATTGATGAAATACCAGCTGAAATGTTTAAACAAACTGATGCAGCTCTGAAACCACTCACTAGTCTGTGCAAAGAAATTTGAAAGGCAGCTACCTGGCCAACTGACTGGAAGAGATCCACATTTGTATCCTTGACAAAGAAAGATGATCCAACCGAATGTGGAAATTATGGACCAATGTTGTTAATATCACACACTAGTAAAATGTGGCTGAAGGCAATTAAAAACCAGTTGTAGCTGCACATCAACAAGGTACTGCCAGAAATTCAAGATGGGTTCAGAAGAGGACGTGGAACCAGGGATATCATTATTGATGTCAGATGGATCTTGGCTGAGAGCAGAAAATACCAGAAAGATGTTTACTGTTCTGTGTTTCATTGGCTATGCAAAGACATTTGACTATGGATAATAACAAATTATGGATGGATCGCAAACAATGAACTTAATTGTGTCAGTTTGGAACCTATACATAGAATAAGAGGCAGTTGTTAGAACAGACCAAGGAGATAGTGCCTTTTTCAAAATCAGAAAAGGTGTGTGTGCCTGGGTTGTAGCCTTTCACCATCTTATTCTGTCTGTATGTTGAGCAAATAATCGAAGAAACCTGAATTGTATGAAGAAGAACATAGCATCAAGATTGGAGGAAGACTTATTAACAACCTGCAACATGCAGATGATACAATCTTGCTTGGTAATAGTGAAGAGGACTTGAAGTACTTACTGATGAAGATCAAAGCCTTCAGTACGGATTATACACCATCACCAGGAAAACAAAAATCCTCACAATTGGGCCAATAAGCAATATCATGATAAATGGAGAAAATATTGACATTGCCAAGGATATCATTTTACTTGGATCTACAATCAATGGAAGAAGCAACCAAAAAATCCAGTGATGTATTGCACTGGGAAAATGTGCTGCAAAAAGAGCGGAGGTCCCTGGGACCATCAGGGGAGAAAAGCGGAGAGCGGGACCCTACCCAGAGAAGCAGTGATGTCAGAGATGGAGGTGGAGATGATGACGTGGAGAGATGGAGCAGCTGGGAACTTTAGACACAGAGAGGGAGAGGGGCTGTGTGCTGACAACAAGGGGGCAGGCTTGTAGTGTATACCCTTTGGTTGGGTGATGATGCATGGAGGGGATTGTAACCATGGCAATGAAACGATATATGATAGGATGAATGTAAAACTAATGTTCTCCCATGTAAACTGTCACATAATCCACAATAAAACATGAAAAAAAAAAAAAGGGGGTATCTTTCAAGTGCGTAAAAAACAGTAATGTCACTTTGAGGACTAAAGTGCACTTAAGCCATTCAGTTGTTTCATATGCATTAGAAAGCTGGACAATGAATAAGGAAAGACAATTGGATTATGGTGCTGGCAAACTGTATTAAATATACCAGAGGCTGCCAGAAGAACCAACAAATCCATCTTAGAAAAAATACTAGGATGTGCCTTAGAATAAGGATGGTGAAACTTTATCTCATGCACTTCGGACATGTGATTAGGAGGGACCAGTCCCTGCAGAAGGACATCGTGTTTGGTAAAGTGGAAGGTCAGTGAAAAAGGGGAAGAACCCCAATGAGATGGATTGATACAGTGTTTACAACAGTGGGTTCAAACGTATCAATGAGGATGGCATGGGATAGGCTTAGAAATAATGATTTATTCTGTGAGCTCAGACTCAGCTGCCCCTAACAATGTTGTTGTTGCTATGTGCCGTGGAGTTGGTTCTGACTCATAGCCACCTGTATAGGATTTCTGAGGCTGTAAATCTTTACAGGAGCAGAAAGTCTCATCTTTCTCCCACGGAACAGCTGGTAGTTTCCAACTGCTGACCGTGAGGTTTGCAGCCCAACTCGTAACCACTACGTTATCAGAGCTCCTTGCGCAATAACAGCAACATATTTAGTGGAAGATATTTGAGCAGTTTTCCTTCTCTGATCCGTTTCTGCCTTATACAGTTCCGGCTTTCGTAGTTTTTACTGTATTACGTAGATAATCTATTGCAGAAAAACAATGGCAACATAAGAAAAGGAGTCCTGGTGTGGCATTTTCGAGAAAGCACTGGACCAAAAGGTTGGTTTGAACCACAATGTTGGTGGTTCAAACCCACCAGCCGTTCCTCGGAAACCCTATAAAGGATCGCCATGAGTCAGAACTGACTCGATGACACCAACAACAAAGCAAGTAAGGAAAAGGAGGAAGACAGTACTCACAGGTCCCAGGGTGACATTTTGATGTCTCAGCTTCTGCCGGCCTCTTTTGCTCGTCTGCTTCATATTTAGTGCAATTAATATGCATACTTATGCATGTTTAAAATTACTCAGACTCACAGTCATTTAAATACATTTAACATGCATATTTATGCAGTCTTCCACTCACAAGTGCTCATAGCTGGTTGCTGTTTCCTAAAGCATGAGACCTTTGGGTACCCTTGGCTGCCCTGTGATCTGTCCACCTGGTGGCATCTGAGTTGTGGACCCCTTTCGCTGGATTTGGAGTTGTTCCGACCCCTGGCTGTTATAAACAGCGAGGTTGACAGCCTTGGGGAGGCATCTGTCTACACTGTCTGTCTGCTCATGGCAACAGTCCTGGGTGGGGTGGGGGATCCAGGCGCCCTGCCAGGCGGCCGGTAGAGATCGCCCCAGTAGGGAATGAGAAGCCCTAGTTCTGTCTTCAGCAGTGCCAGGAAGAGCCGTTTGAAGGCAGGTCCTGTGTACTAGGGGGCTTGTGCTTCAGGAGTTCCCACCTCTGAGACAGGATTGAAGTCACACATCCTCTCCCAGGACTCTTGTTGTTAAGCACTGTTGAGTTGGTTCCCACTCATAGCAACCCAGTAAAGGGCTTCTGAGGAATGACTGGTGGGTTTGCACTGCTTTTCTTGTGGTTAGCAGTCCTGTGTACCCTTAAGCATCCCACCAGGACTCCTAGGGGTGTGAATACAGCAACTGAAGGCTGTGGGGTTACTGGGAACACTTAAAGGATTTGGGTCCAGACTTGACCGCAGGGGGAGGTGCTCGTAACCATGCTCTGGGTGCCAGCATCCAGGCCCTGAACTGGGGGATCCTGGCCCCTCCAAGCCCTCTGGGCAGCAGGCACTGCCAACGAGACCTGGATACAGCGAGGTTAAGACCCTCACCCAAAGCCAGCTGCCAGCGGGACTCAAGGCCTTGGCAGTGGGCCCCGAGTGGACGCTTTCAACCATCCCCTGTGTTGGCCCCCCTCCCTGGGGGCCAAGCATTTGTTTTCTTGGGAGCTTGTCCATCAGAGCTTGGATGAGCAGAGGGGTCAGTGGACCCAGCGAACCTGGTCGTACGGCCTTGGAACGGGCATGGGATTGGGGTACAGAAGGTCTGGAATGCACTCACAGATTGGGGATGCAGAGGAATGGGGTGCAGCTGTAGAACTGAGGAGGGCTCAGAGGCAGACAGTTTGGAACAAGGGGCACAGAGGCACTGAATGGAGAAGCATGGGGGTGCAGCCATGGAATGGGGGCACAGGAGCATCTATCCCATATGGATCCTGAGGCCTGACTGCCCAGCCTCACCCCTCCTAGCAGACTTATCCCCCTCTTACTCATCTCTGCCCTCCAGACCTGGACGAGTGTGCTAGCGGGCAGGCCCAGTGTGCCCACGGCTGTCTCAACACCCGAGGCTCCTTCAAGTGCGTGTGCCATGCAGGCTATGAGTTGGGTGCCGATGGTCGTCAGTGCTACCGTGAGTGGGCAGTGGAGTGGGCAGCATGCACGGGGCTTGTCAGTCAGGAGTGGTGGGCGGGGCCTCAGGAGGACCTGTTCTGAGCCCCAAGAGCCCCTTGTCTCCCAGCAGTGGGGCCACCAGAATCCGTCCCCTGTCCCAGGCCGGTGGTCTCGTTGCAGGAATCGAGATGGAGATTGTCAACAGTTGTGAGAACGACAATGGTGGCTGCTCCCATGGCTGCAGCCACAGCAGTGGGGGCCCCCTGTGCACCTGCCCCAGCGGCTATGAATTGGACACAGACCAGAGGACATGCATCGGTGGGTGCTTCCGAGTCGGCCGGAGGGGATCTGGGCCCTGGGACTCGCTTCTTCCACACTGTTTATTGCTACCCCGAGTATGCTGGTGGGTCTGATGCCTCGGGTGGGAGCTCCCTCCTTTCTTCCACATCCCATTCTAGCTGACTGGGCCCAGCTGGGGTGGGTGTTGTGGGTGGGCCTGGAAAGAAAGGTGATATCAGTGGTCCCAGGGAATGACCCTAGGAGTCTGGGAATGCCCCTAACATGCAGGGACTGGCAAAGGGGACTCTTTTCAGTGGTCATCTCAGGGTCCAGGTGGAACAAGTGGTCTGAGATTTGTACCTGCTGTGTGTCTGTATGTACAGGGCAGGAACATACATGGGGTTGGTGTGGGTGTGAGCTATATGACTTGCATGTGGATTGCCTGTGTGGTGCATGGATGTGCTCACAAATGCATACAGGTGTTTGTATGATTGCACACAGGTGCTCATGTGATGGTGCCTGTGTGTGCAAGTGTGTGTACACTTTGTGTGTGTGTGTGTGTGTGTGCAAGTGGGGGCGCAGAGTGTGGTGGTGGGTGGGTGGCTGCCTGGCCAGCTGCTCTCTGTGTGCGCCTGTAGACGTGGACGACTGTGTGGAGTCTCCGTGCTGCCAGCAAGTATGCACCAACACGCCTGGCGGTTACCAGTGTAGTTGCTATGCGGGCTACCGACTTAGCACAGACGGCTGCAGCTGTGAGGGTGAGTGCTGGGGCCCTGCTCTCCCCACTGCTCTGCCCCTGCACCTTGGTTGAGCACCTGCTGTATGCTGACCTGTGGTCACTGGCCACTCTCCTGTGGAGATGGGCCTGCCCCCTGTTTCTGCTCAGGCTGGGATGGTGGGATATGGTGCCCACTGTCACCCGAGCTTGGGGTGGGTGAGCTGCTAGCCACTGGCATGGTCACCAGGTTCAGCTCAGTGGTGGAGGTGGGGGTGGGTGGGAAGGAGAGGCAGAGCCAGCCTACATCCCTGGGCTCCGAGGATGGTCTCTGCAGCCCTATGTTTGCCCACAGATGTGGATGAGTGTGCCTCTAGCCGTGGGGGGTGTGAGCACTACTGTGCCAACCTTGCTGGCTCATTCCGGTGTTCCTGCTCGGCGGGCTTCCGGCTGCTGGAAGACCGCAGGGGTTGTACCCGTGAGTTCCCGCCCCACACTCCCTGCCTTCCTTCCGGGGGGGCTGTGCTCATGGCTCCCCCACATGGCATTGGCCTCGACATGCCCTTCCCTCCGTCTCAGCACTCTCTCGGGGAGTGGGTGGACTCTGCCACCCCTTCCCCTGCTGGGACTGGGCATAGGCACTGCTCAGACAGCATGCCCAGAGCCAGTTGGTGTTCTGGAATCCCAGTGGCCCAGGTCCCCCTGCCCATTTGAAAGAAGGGGCCACAACCTAAGAGATACCATCCCAGGCACAAGAGTGAGCAGAACTCTGCCCACCCCTCACTCCCTCCATACCCCTACTCTCCAGGGCCAGAGCATGCATGGGGTGGTGGTGTGGGTCAAGTCTGCCGGGCCTGGGCCTTCTCCCCACTTGGACATCAGAGCAGTGGGGATAGCCCTGTGACCAGAGTGCAGAGAAGGTGGCTTTGTGGGCAGTGACAGACTGATTTCGGGTGTGTGGGCTGCACAGAGGAGCCCCGGAGGATGGTGGTGTGTGTGTATGTGTGGCCCCCGCTGGGCTAGGTGTTGGGAGCAGGGCTCAGCAACCTCTGTCCTCAGCGCTGGAGGAGCCGGTCGTGGACCTGGATGGACAGCCGTCCATCGTGCGCCCTTTGCCCCACATTGCGGTGCTTCGGGATCAGCTGACCCAGCTCTTTGAGGATGAGGAGGACGGCTTGGCTGACGAGGAGGAGGTGGAGGCACGGGGCGAACATACATTGACGGAGAAGTTTAGTAAGGGTTGCGCCTAATCTAGGGACTCTGCTCCCTGTAGAGATGGATTCCCCTTCCCTGGGCCAAGTCACTGCCCCCTGCAGTGTCCTGTTGCTCAAGGCCCAGAGGGGCCAAGCACAGGCGTGGTTTGCTGTGCGTCTGGCTGAGCTTGGCTAAAGCAGCCCTGGGCTCCAGGGTGGAAGTGGGGATGTTTCTGGGTCCCACCCTGCATGGTTCCCACCCCCAGCTTGTTCCCATTCCCACCTGGCCTGTGATACTGGCCTGGGTCTCTTTGCCCATGGAGACTAGGGGTACCTCAGCTCGGCCTCTTGTCTGCTGCCCCCAGTCTGCCTGGACAACTCCTTTGGCCACGACTGCAGCCTGACCTGTGAAGACTGTAGCAATGGGGGGACCTGCCTGCCGGGCCTGGATGGCTGCGACTGCCCCGAGGGCTGGACTGGCCTCATCTGCAACCAGAGTGAGGCTGGGGGTGGGCTGGGGCTGGGGACACAGTGGACAGGGGCCTGCAGACTGCCATGGGCCATTCACTCTTAACTCCTCCCACCAGCAGAGGCTCCTGTGGTTCACTTAGTCACTCATGCAGGTATCCACACACCTTGATTCATACAACGACTCATTCATTCATTCATTCATTCACGCATTCACTCATTCATGCGTGCATGCAGCCATGTATGGATTCACTCATTAGACTTATACTCACTCACTCATTCATTCATTCCCTCCCTCATTCATTCATTTATGCATCTTCTCAGTCATTCCATAAGTACACTTTACTATCTGCTCTGTGCCCCAGGGACAACAAGGTCAGATGTTTGTTCCTCACACGTGTCACAATCTATGGGCTCAGTAACAAGCCAACAACTGACTGAGTCCATTTCTTGTGGTGATCAGGAAAGTGGGGTGATTGGGAAGCAAGGGGTCTCTCAGAAGGGTCTCCAGCAGGAGGGTCTTCTCTGGCTCAGACACCTATGTAATGGATAGGAACAGGGACCCCTGACTCCCCCAGGCCCCTACCCGTAGCCTTTCCCACGCCCTGCTCAGCCCTCCCAGACCACTTGTGGGGTTTGGTCTCAAGGGCAGTAATGAATGTTTGGAAGCATCTGCCTGTCTGAACATGCTAGTCCAGCAGGGCCTGTGCTGTGTTGAGCTCAGAGGGAGAGGATGTAGCAATTGATTAATAATGTCTGCCCCAGGCATGGTAGAAGGTGACGGGGCACGAGTGGTTGCTCTTGGTGGCAGCTTCTGAATAGGATTGAAAGTCTTTCTGCTATGGTGACCCTGGTTTTCATGTCCCTCCCTGTAGCATGTCCCCCAGACACCTTTGGGAAGAACTGCAGCTCCTCCTGCAGCTGTCAGAATGGTGGGACCTGCGACCCCATGACAGGGGCCTGTCGCTGCCCCCCAGGTGTTAGTGGAGTCCACTGTGAGGACGGTATGTGCAGCCCCCTGGGGGACACATGGTGAGGGAGGGAGACCCTTCCCTTACAGCTCTCCCCACTCGCTCTCTCCACGTCTCCGTCCTCCCTTGTGGCAGGGACAGCAATGCGGTACTTGCATTAGACCCTCTTCCCTCTTAGCTGTGTCTGTGAGGAGTGGGCACAGATTTCTGCTTGCATGCTTATTTCTCTGGGCTCTAACTCTTCCAGATGATCACGCCTTGACAGAAGAACAGCAGTTTTGGAATTTGTTCCCTTTGGAGGTAGTAAGGCCCCCATTCCTGGAAGCATTCAAGCAGAGCTGTATGATGGCTGAGTGGGAAGTGCAGAAGGGCTGCTAGCTATATGGGTGATTTTAGCATTCCTTTTGACCCGGAGTTTCAGCATTTAGGAACAATTAGAGCAAGTTGCCATCGAGTCAACTTTGACTCGTCAGAGTAGAACTGTGTGTCAGAGTAGAACTGTGCTCCATGGGGGTTCTCAGTGAAGATGTTTCACAAGTAGATTGCCAAACCTTTCTTCCAAAGGGCCTTTAGGTGGACTTGAACCTCCAACCTTTCTGTTAGTAGCGAGGGTTATCCCTACCCAGGGACTCAGGAAGAATTAGAGAGTCCGCTCACATGAATCCCCAGGATACTAATGTTTAGTCGTTAAGTCTTCAGACCTATAAATTCTGTCTCTTTTTCTGGCAATGTAGCTAATGTGTGTTATAAATTGTGAAATGTCCTGCTTCTGTGGGTGGAAGAGAGCAATCAGGCAGCCAGAGCTGGGGCTATGCTGTGTGCGCTGTGCTCTATGGAGGCGTGAAGCCACCCTATAGGGTTCCCTGATTCTCCTCTCCTTGCCAGCCCTCAGGACCCTGCCCTCCACTGGGCTTTTCTTCCCTTTCCATCTGTGGTTTCATCTGCTGGGGACTAGACACCCAGTGTGCACTGTAAGTCGTGTGTGCTGGATGCTTGTGGACCCAGGGGGCTGAACATGGGTACTTTGGGATGACCTGTGGCTTCTTGCAGGAGCCCTGGTGGCACTGTGGGTTAGTTAGACATTGGGCAGTGTCTTAATTAGCTGTTGTTTTTGTGTGCTGTTGAGTTGGTACCGACTCATAGTGACCCTGTATAGGGTTTCTGAGGCTGTAAATCTTCATGGGAGCAGAAAGCCTCATCTGTCTACTGTGGCGTGGCAGGTGGCTCCCTGCTGACCTTGTGGTTCAGGACAAGCAGTCCAATGTTTATCCGATAAAGGCAACAGTGTTTCTTCTTAATTCTCTAGTGCTGCTATAACAGAAATACCACAAGTGGGTGTTTTTCACAAACAGGAATTTCGTCTCTCACAGTTTAGGAGCCCAATCCAAGGCTTCCTCTGTCAGTTGGCTTTGTGGGAAGGTCCTTTTCCCCTTTCAGCATCTGTAGACCCAGCATTCCTTGGAGATCTCCTTGTGTCTTGGCATCGCTCTTCCCCTGGACCTAAGACCTTCTCAGTGCAGGGACCTCAGATCCAAAGGATGCGCTTGGCTCCTGCCTCTTCTTTCATGGTGGTGGTGATGTGCCATGGAGTCAGTTCCGACTCACAGCGACCCTGCCTAGGGTTTCTGAGGCTGTAAATCTTTATGGGAGCAGAAAGGCCTCATCTTTCTCCTGTAGAATGGCTGGGAGTTTAGAACTTCTGGCCTTGAGGTTAGCAGCCCAACTCATAACCACTACGCTACCAGAGAGCTCCTTTCCTTGTTGGTAGTACATTCCTGACTTCTGCTCAATTATTTTTCCTCTTGTAAATAAAAGGTGTTGCAGGCCACATCCCAGGGAAACTCCCTTTAGATAGGATCAGGATTGGGTTGGAATTAAGAGGGAGTCCTGGTATGGAGCTCTGGTAGCGTAGTGGTTACGAATCAGGCTGCAAACCACAAGGTCAGCAGTTCAAAACTACCAGCTGTTCCGCGGGAGAAAGATGAGGCTTTCTGCTCCCGTAAAGATTTGCTGCCTCGGAAACCCTGTACAGGGTCGCTATGAGTCGGAACCGACTCCAAGGCACATAACCACCACCACCACCTGGTATGGTGCTGTAAGATCAACACTGGACTGCTAACTGTAAGGTAAGTTGTTCAAGCCCACCATCCGCTCCTTTGGAAACCTTATTCAGGGTTGCTTTGAATCAGAACCAACTATGCAGTGCTTAACAACAACATCCCACACTTAATCCTATTACTGGTTTATCACATCAGGACCTGTCATGGGGGATCATCACGTAGCTGCCTCATTACTTCATTACGTAGCTCCCAAACCACTGAGAAGCGTGGCCCAGCCAAGCTGACACAGATTTTGTTGTTAAGTGCTTTCGGGTTGGTTCCAACTCATAGCAACCCTGTGTAGGGTTTCCAAGGAGTGGCTAGTGGGTTTGAACTGCCAGCATTGCAGTTAGCAGTTCAGTGCTTACCCTACAGCACCATACCAGGACTCTGACACATCTTTTGAGAGGACACAATTCAATCTGTGATAGGCTGGCAACTGCAAGGTCGGCAGTTCAAACCCACTAGTCACTCCTTGGGAGAAAGCTCTGACTGTCCCCATAGAGATTCACAGGCTCAGAAACTCTATGTAGGGTTGCTGTGAGTTGGAATTGACTCCGTGGCAGTGGGTTTGGGATGGTTTCCCAGAGGACACTTGGTAGTGCAATGTTTAAGCAGCCCTTCCTTGGGAGCTTTTGGGGTCCAGGATTCATCCTGGGAGTGTGAGTCCTGGGGTGTGGAAAGGAGGTGGGGTCTGCAGACTGTCTGAAGACTTCCCTAGGGAGGGAAGGTGGGTGGGGACAGTGAGCTTCAGGGTAGTGCAAGGTTTAACTCAAGTTGGTTGTTCATACCCACCAGCTGCATCATGAAAGGAAAGACCTGGCGATGTGCTTCTCTATAGACTACAGCCCAGGAAGCTCTATGGAGGTAGTTCTGTTTCCTGCTCCAGGGGCACTATGAGTTGGAATCCTGTCAACAGCACGAAAAACTGTGATTTCCCAGAGACCTGGGTCTCAGCTGGGTTCCACATGTTCCTGTGTGGGGGCGCTCCAGGAGACTAGCACCCAGAGAGTCTGGCTGGCTGGCTTTCGGGAAGCCCCATGTTAGAGTTCTAGGCTCCTGGTGTCCCTGGGCTTGTGGCCACATCACACACCCTGTCTCTGTTGTCACATGACCTTCTCCTCTTTTGTCTTGACTCTCCCTCAACCCTTCTCCTCTAAAGATACCTGTCAGCGAATTTGGGGACCGCTGGTAATCCACAGTGAGCTTTCCTAAAGATTATTCATTTAATTACAGTTGTAAAGACCTTTTTTCCAAATAAGGTCAGTTCTGGGGATTAGGACATAGACACACACCCGCTTCCCCCCAGGCTGCCCCAAGGGCTTCTACGGCAAACAGTGTCGGAAGAAGTGCCACTGTGCCAACCGAGGCCGGTGTCACCGAGTCTACGGGGCCTGCCTCTGTGACCCGGGGCTCTATGGCCGCTTCTGCCACCTGGGTAAGTCCCGCTGCACTGCAGTGTTGAGGGGTTCGGGTGGGTGGCAGACCCCTGTACTTTGTCACTGTGTGCTGGGGGTTTACATCTTTTGTCTGGGTTTGACTGTTCAATTCTGTGTGGATGAGGAACTTGGGGCTCATAGAAGTCACCCAGTTGGGACAGAGGGGGCTGGTGTCCCTCCAAGCTCTCCTCTTGAGTGAGCTGGCCCCCAGGGCATCTGGCTGGGCAGCCTCCAGCCACAGGGTCAGGGGAGGGTGGCCCCTAACCCTGGATCTGGGACACCAGGTGGGCTGAGGAGTGGGCAGGTGGCACCCAGAATTAAGGTGACAAAGAAGCCACCCTGTGTGCTGGGCAGGAGCAGCCCTCCCTCTGATCCTGGAAGAGTGAGAGTCCTGGGGTATGGAAAGGAGGCGGGGTCTGCAGACTCTCTGAAGACTTCCTTACAGGAGGGAAGGTGGGCGGGGACAGTGAGCTTTGGAGCAGCATCACTTTATGCTGTTTTGTCACATGGGTTATTAGAGGAGAAAACAGGAAAGCGAAGAAAGCACCGTGAGTCTCTAGCTGAGAGGTCCCTGGAGTTCCCTGAGCCTGATTTGACAGGTCCCTCAGACTTGGGGGGATAAGGCCCTGGGGCACCTCGCCTGGGCACAGTGACTCCATGCGACAGGCTAGCTTGTTCTGGACCCTGGAGACAGGAGCTCAGTGTTTGGTGCTGAGATGAGGGCCTGGGGGCTCCGTGGACACAGCTGGAGAGGACACAGGCGGTGGCACATGTCCCTGTGGTGTCTCTGGCTATAGCCTGCCCTCCGTGGGCCTTTGGACCTGGCTGCTCAGAAGAGTGTCGCTGTGAACAACGGAACACGCGGACATGCGACCGGAAAGACGGCAGCTGTACCTGCAAGGCAGGCTTCTGGGGGGATCGGTGTCAGCATGGTGAGTGTGGGCAGGCAGGAGGAGGGTGCTGCTGGCATCCCTGGGGTCGCTGCTGACCCCCAGCCTCTGCTCCACAGAGTGCCAGTCAGGGTTCTTTGGGTCGGGGTGCCGGCAGGTATGTACCTGCCCTCCAGGTGTGACCTGCAACCCTGAGAGTGGTGAGTGTCAGAAGCAGTGTCCCGCTGGCTACCAGGGCAAAGACTGTGACCAAGGTGAGTGATCGGCCTGGGACTCCCAGGAATTTGAGGGTGGTCAAGGGCACCCTGGAGGGTCAGAGAAAAAGAGGAAGACCCCCAAGGAGATGGATTGGCCAGGTGGCAGCATCGATGGACTCAAGCGTGGCAACAGTAGTGAGTTTGGCCCAGGATCGGGCAGTGTTTCGTTCTGCTGTGCATAAGGTCGCTGTGGGTCGGTACCGACTCGATGGCACCTAACAACAACAACAACAACAAGGGCACCTGGCCCAGGAGTAGATGGCTGTAGAGGTACAGCAGAGCCAGGCCGAGGGGGCCAGCACTGTTACCTGCCTGAGTACACTCCTGTGGCAGTGCAGCCATCTGGTCTATCTGCTGCGCTGCTCCCAGCGGGCAGCTCAGGGCAGGACTGGACTTCCAGAACCCTCACTCACTGACTCACTCACACAAACATCTACTCATTCATTAATTCACTCATTCACTCACTCACTGACTCACTGACTCACACAAACATTCATTCATTAATTCACTCACTCACACAAACATCTACTCATTCATTAATTCACTTACTCACTGACACACAAACATCTACTCATTCATTAATTCACTCACTTACTCACTCATTGACTCACACATTCATTAATACACTCACTCATTCATTCACTCACTCACTGACTCACACAAACATCTACTCATTCATTAATTCCCTCATCTACTCAATCATTCATCCACTTGTTCATTCTTTCATTTATTCATGGACTCGTTCACTTCAGTCCTTCACACTCTAATTCACTCACTCATTCATCTTTTCAGGTACTCACTTATTGCTTTGCTCATTTATCCCTCATTCATTCCTTTCCTTACTCACTCGCTGCGTGGGTCTACCTGGAGCGTACTTTGTGTTTGGTGCTGGGCTGTTGGGGTCCCATCCTGGCACTGTGAGTCAGAAGGTGAATGAGCTCCTTGAGGATGTCGCTGGGGAGCAGTAGGGGAACCAGTGGGAGGCAGCTGTTCCTGAAGAGAAGTCTGGGTGGCAGATGCCAACGTCGGGGGTGGGTGCAGTGGTGAAAGTCCCCTCCACGTGGATGCCATGACCTGGGTCTAGGAAATGCACACAGAGCAGTGGGTCCAGGTTGAGGCCTGGGTAGGTACCACATTTCCACGGTGAGAGATGGGGAGCCGCCATATGCAGTGAATCAGTAAACACAGTTCCTGAGGTCCCTGGAGACCTGGCAGTTCAGGGCAGGAACTAGGAGGAGGTACCCTGAACCCAGGGGCTGACCAGCAGGTGTGGAGCTGGCCTTTGCTTGACAGAATTGGGAAGGTGAGGAGCGTCCTCTCCCTCCCCATCTTCTCCCCCACTCCACCCCAACACACACACTGGGGGACACAGTTTCCCACTGTCCAGTCCTGGTCAGTAAGAGCAGAGTGATTAGGAAGGATGGATGGAGGGACCTCAGGCCTCTCTATGGATACGTCCTAGGAGCCTCCTATTCCTCATGAAGGGTGTTAAGTGCTGTTGAGTCAGTTCCGACTCTGTATAGTGACCCTGTATAGGGTTTCCAAGGAGCGGCTGGTGAGTTTACTGCTGACCTTTTAGTTCAAAGACTTTGCAGTCCAATACTTATCCTACAGTGCCACACCAAGCAGAAGGTACCTAAGTGCTGTCATTGGCAGAGGAGGGGAGGGGAGTGTGAGTTAGCAGGGCCACAGCCATGCGGACGGGCGCTGGGCAGGTGGAACCATCCCTTGGCTCTTGGTGCACACACTCCCCACCCCAACAGACCTAGGTGAATGGGCAGCAGGGGACTGAAGGGATTAGCAATATGCACCCCTTTCCACAGGGATGCTCCAGGGGCTTGCCTGGCTCAGGCTCCCACCAACCCTGGCCGAGCAGAGGGGTCAGCAGTAGGGGAAAGAACACCCCATCATATGGGCTGCTGAGCCTCCACCCCACCCCATGTGTCACCTACGCCAGCGGCCTATTGGCTGAGACACCAAAGGCTCTTCCATGGGCTGGATAAGAGAGCCCCAGCCCCTGCCCTTTCCCTTTCCTTACTCTTTAAAAGCTGCTAGAGCCCTGAGGATGAGCCACAGGAACTGACACACATAGCTGGAAATAGTGGTCTCCCCACTGCTGTGAGGTCTGGAAATGATTACCGGCCAAAACACACGTCTGTCCCGCTTAGGAGAGAGGAGGTTCCAGGAGGTCTGGCAGGGCTGCGTGGCCAGTGTGGCTGGATCTGGCTTGCGGTGCGTACGTGTGCAAAGCACTGACTTCATAGGCGTGTGTAGTGCCCAAGCGCCTGTTGCGTTTGCACATGTATTGTACCTGTAGCTTTGTGCCTATGTCTTGTGTCCCTGGGGGCAATGTGGGAGTGTGCCTGCAGGGGACAAGTTGGTTCTCAAGTCCCTGTTCCCAGAGCCTCCTCTCAGGGAGTGAAAGCTCCTTCGAGGATTTCTGCCCTAGTTCTTTGACACCCTCCCTCAGGCAAGGAGCCCTGGGTGCTCAGCCGCAGTGTTCATTAGGGTTTGTGAGTGTAGGGCTGTTGCAGCTTACACGCAAGGCTGCCATGAACACCTCCTTGACCTGGGGGGTTCTGTCCTGATGCAGCAGGTGAGCATTGGAGTAGCCTTGTTACTGGAAGGAGCCCTCTCATCCCTGCCCCAGGCTTGCACACATTGATCTGGGGCCAGAAGGCTGATGGTGGGCCCTGAGGGACACAGCAGGCATGGGAGCCCCTCAACCTGGGGTGGATGCTGAGCTCCTTCCTCCAGGAAGGCTCGGGTCTTCCAGCACGCATGCTCTGTACATCCATGGGGAGCGGTAGGGTTGGAGCTCTGCTGTACCTCTTCGTCCTGAGGTCTTACTGTGTGCCCAGGGCTGGCCTGAGGCAGCTGTCAAGGCACGCTAGTACCCCGTGCCTCCTGCCTCACTGCCCTGACACGAGGAGATGGGCTCAGCTGGCCTCTTCATCTGGGGGATATCTAGCCTGCTTCCTCCTATTCCTACCCCATCCTACCAGGAGAAGGCTGGAGCTCTGGGATAGGTGGATACTTACGGACTCATATGGATGCTCACTATTCCCTGAGAGGGGAGGGGAGAGCAGAGTCAGCCTCAGCACTCCTGGGGGCCTGATGGCCGAATTCAGCCAGAACGGCTTTACTCTCTGGCTACCCATCATACCCTGCTCCTAACTCTGTGCCCCTGAGGCCCCTTCTGTCCCTGACCTGTGGTGCCTCCTCCCCGACCCCTTCTCAGGACCTGTCCTGCTCACTCATGGACCTGACTAGGGTCAGCAGCCCTGCTGGTGGGGCAAGGGTTCTGGGTCCCTGTTGCCCCCGAGTTGGGAGTGTCGGGTGTTCAGGTTTATGTTGCTCTCTTCTGCAGAGTGTCTAGGGGGGACGTTCGGGAAGAACTGCTCCAACCACTGTTCCTGTGGGGGAGCCCCCTGCGACCGGGTCACGGGGCAGTGTCTCTGCCCGCCGGGGAGGACCGGGGATGACTGTGGGGCAGGTGAGTGGCAGGTGATGTCCTGGAGTCCTTCCCACTTCTCCCCAGTGTTAGGAACCCCAACCCCAGCCCTGAACCGTGTTAGCGGACCCCACCCAACCCTGATCCATGTTAAGTTCCTTTGAGCCTATGCAATGACAGTTTGTCATTGGTCTCATTGTCACTGGTACCTGGTCTCAGCTCATGTTTGGGAACCCCTGGCCCCAGTCTGAACTTTGCAGACCCAGGCCTTCTCCAGCAGCGGTGCCAAGGCTAGGTCTGGAGTCGGGGGTGTTTGTGCCCCGAGGGGGGGGGATGCACTGAGCACCTATGGCCCACGCATGGTGCGATCTGTCCAGTGGTCCCTGGGGCTGCTGTGGGCCCTGCAGCCTCTCTTAGCCCTGGGCAGGCTGTTGGTGATGCTGAGAGCTGTCGGAGCACTGACCGGGGTGGTGGGGGCTTAGAGTGTCCCGAGGGCCACTGGGGACTCGGCTGCCAGGAGCTCTGCCCAGAGTGTGACCATGGTGCTGGCTGTGACCCTGAGACTGGAGCCTGCTTGTGCCCACCCGGCTATGTGGGCAGTCGATGCCAGGATGGTGAGTGGGGTCCTGCATGTGTCCTGGGGTAGGGACTGGGCCCAGGCACTCACCCTCTCTTCCCCTGCAGTGTGCCCAGCAGGCTGGTTTGGGTCTGGCTGCCAGGCCAGATGTACCTGTGCCAACACAGGACACTGTCACCCAGCGAGTGGGCAGTGCAGCTGTGCCCCCGGGTGGATGGGCCTGGACTGTCGCAGAGGTATGCCGGGAGGCAGGGTGTTCTTCACCTCATCCCTTGTTTGCCATGCACAAGGGCCTCCAGAATGGGGAGCACTGGGTCCCTCCCAACATGGTCCCCAGCCCCCCGATCTTGCTTACAAGAGTCCACTGCCCCTTCGCCCCCGACCTTTCAGGGGACCTATGCTGACTGGTCGACTCTGTTGCAGCCTGTGATGGGGGCCACTGGGGACCCGACTGCAGGTACCCCTGCAACTGCAGTGCCGGCCAAGGGAGCTGTGAGGCCACCAGTGGTCACTGCCTGTGTGAGGCTGGGTTCACGGGCCCACACTGCGAGCACCGTGAGTTGGGTGGGACCTCAGCCACAGATGGTCCCAAATTTCAGGGGTTCAGAGGAGCCCCACCCTGCCTTCTTGGCCCAGAGAAGCTTACGTAGCCTCCACCCCAAACTGGACCCTCAGGTCCCTGCCCCACTACTGCATCAGAAAAAGACTGACCCTCAGCAACCTGTGCCTGATGTCATCCAGTCAGAACACCAAGCAGATGCAGGGCTGGCACAACTCTGGGGCACCTGGCACCTGGGGGAAGGGATGAGGGGGTGCCTAGAGCTAGAGGGCACATCTTTTAGTGCTATGGGTTAGTGGCTTCAGGTGGGCTTAGAAGTCATCCTGGCAGAGGTCCCTAACCCCAAAGGCTGATAGGAGGTTTTTGGAGGAGGGTTGGGGGGCCTGTAGAATTCCATATGGGTGACTCTCATGGGGGGAAGGAGGGCTTGGAGGGGAGCAAGGGAGTCTTGGGACAGAGCTCCTAAAAGTGGACTAGGTTCCCCAACCCCAAAGGCATTTGGGACCCCTCTAAACCTCCACTCCCCTGAGGCTTGCTCTTTAGGGGTGGGAGACAGAGGGGGTGCCCAGACCCCTTAGGTAGGGAAGACCTCCTTTAGTGCAGTCCCTGCCCTCATCTGGTACCCCTGCTGATGGTGTCTGGGATTTGGTGTTCAGGGTGTCCCCAGGGCCACTTTGGGCCGGGCTGTGGGCAACGGTGCCGGTGTGAGCACGGTGCGGCTTGTGACCATGTCAGTGGGGCCTGCACTTGCGCGGCCGGCTGGAGGGGCACTTCCTGTGAGCGCGGTGAGTGGGCTGTGAGTGGGGCGCACCAGGTGGGTCTGGGGCCTTGGGCTCATGGACCCCCATCCTATCATCGCCCCTCCCTTGCAGCTTGCCCAGCCGGCTTCTTTGGTGTGGACTGCCTTGGGGTCTGCGACTGCGCTGGTGGAGCCCCCTGCGACGCTGTGAGCGGAGCTTGTGTCTGCCCTGCCGGCCGGCGTGGCCTTCGCTGTGACCAGGGTATGTGAAGCTGGGATGGGTCTGCTTGGAGTAAGGGCAGGGGCCTGGCCTGTTTGTTGCTGTCTTGTATATGTGTGTATGTGGCGGAGTGGGGGGCTGACCCACTTGTTGCTGCCTTTCGGGGTGGGTTCAGAACCAGCAGGTAGCCGCATCTGCTGTTAACCTCCTTTGGACCACGGTGTCCCTCTTGTGGGCAGCACAGGCCAAGGAGGGAGATGTGGCACAGGAGGAAAGGGACACAGAGGTTTCAGGGACCCTGTCAGGTCACTGGGCCACCCCCAGGGTCCTGACTACTCCTTCCACCCATTCCCTCCAGCCTGTCCCGCCCACACCTATGGGCTCAACTGCAGCCAGGCCTGTGCCTGTGCCCATGGGGCGACTTGTGATCCTGTGCTCGGGAGGTGCCGTTGTACCCCGGGCTGGACGGGGTCCTCCTGCCTGCAGGGTAAGCTCACCCAGGGGGCCTCCAGGAAGTGGGGAACAAGGGCCTGGGAGTCCAGGGATCAGGTGTTTGATTCTTGACCATGGGGTCCCATGGGTGTGGACTGCTGGGCTGCAGACCAGGCCCGCCTGAAACAGCAGACTGTCGTGGTGGTAGTGGGAAGAGGGCCATCACACCCTCATGGGGCACCTGCCACCTGGAAAGCTGAAAGGATACCTTCCTTCAGCGCTGTGTCCCCAGGGCTGGGAGGGTGGGCCCAGGGTGCTTCTGAGTAGGTCCTCTCAGAGATGCCCCTGGGGAAGACCCCATCCTAAAGGCTGATGCTTCAGGTGCCTCTCTCCCAGCCTGCCCCGAGGGCCTGTACGGTGAGAGCTGTCAGTATCCCTGCACCTGCCAGAATGGAGCTACCTGTGACCCCGTCACGGGCCACTGTACCTGTCCCGAGGGCTGGACCGGCTCAGCCTGTGAGCAGGGTGAGCACAGCTGCCTGAGGGGGCTGCCCTGAGGGTCTATGGGAACCAGGGCTGCACCTCAACCTGTCGTGGCCTAGGAAGATCCCTGGTCAGGGGCAATGCCCTGAGTGTGGTCCTGGGGCTCTGGGTGTAAGAAGTGGGGTCTCCAGGCCTGGGAATGCTCACCTGCTCTTCACGCCTGCAGAGTGTCTCCCTGGGAACTTTGGGGCCGGCTGTCAGCACCGCTGTGACTGCCTCAATGGGGGGTTCTGTGATCCCCGCACGGGTGCCTGCCTCTGCCCAGCCGGCTGGGGCGGTGACAGGTGCCAGAACCGTGAGTGAGGAGGGACCCCACCGAGGAAGGCGGCCTGATGGGGTGGGGTGCATGTTTGGCTCCAGGTCCAGCCCTACAGAGGATGTGTGGAATGCAGTGATGGGGGAACAGGGACAATTCCTGTGTCAGCCCCCACCCCATCTCCCTTCTGCAGTCTGCGTGGAGGGCACCTTTGGGGCTGGCTGTCAGGAGCGATGTGTGTGCCGGAGGGGAGCAACCTGCCATAGGGTCACTGGTACCTGCCTCTGCCCCCCAGGATGGAGGGATGCGAGGTGTCAGAGTGGTGAGCACAGGGCCGTCTGGTCACCAGCACTCAGGGTGGGGAGATCCTCCACATGGGGATGGCCCCAGGCCTGCTCTGTCCCTGGGTCCCCCACCTTGTCTTCCAGAAGCTCACCAGTCCTTGCTCTCCCTGCAGCCTGCCCTCCTGGCTGGTTTGGAGAAGCTTGTGGCCAGCACTGCCAATGCCCTCCGGGCACTGCCTGCCACCATGTCACCGGGGAGTGTGGCTGTCCCCCTGGCTTCACCGGGCCCAGCTGTGAGCAGGGTAAGTGGCTTCCCAGATTGACCCCTGCAGGAAGGAGGCGTTTGGGGGAAGGTGGGTGATTCTGACTGGCCAGGACTGACTCCCTCCCCGCCTGCCCCAGCCTGCCCACCCGGCACCTTTGGAAAAGACTGTGCCCAGATTTGCCAGTGTCCCAGTGAGAACCAGTCGTGCCACCCTGTCACAGGGGCCTGCGTGTGCGCCTCGGGTTACTACGGCCACGGCTGCCAGCAACGTGAGCGCCCTGCTTTCCAGTGCCCACCCTGAGTCCGAGGGGGCAGTGGGATGTGCAGGGTCTTCATGAGGCCATGGGTCTTCCCCTCGGTGTGCTGAGGGGCAGTGTTACCTTGTGGGGGTTACTGGGCATTGTCCATCCCACTTCCAGCAGCTGGTCCTCTTCCACAGGCTGCCCGGCTGGACGGTTCGGGCCGGGCTGTTTGCAGCAATGTACCTGTGTCAACGGTGGCTCCTGTGACGTGACCACTGGTGCCTGCCTGTGTCCGGCTGGGTTCCTGGGGGCTGACTGTGGCCTCAGTGAGTGTGGGACAGGATGAGGGGGGCTGGGCAGGGGTGGGTGCTATCCATGCACTTATTCTAGGCTGTCGAAGCCTGGGGTGGTGTCCCCGCTGGCCCTCTGGGAGACTGCTGGCCAGCTCTGACCCATCCTGCATCTGCAGCTGAGCATCCTGACGGTCCTTTCCTGAGTCACGGGGCTGGTCCCTGGGTGGAGTCCAGGCTGCACATTTAGGCTGGTGGAGTGGGGGGCAGGCAGCGGTGGACAATGGGTCAAGATGGCCCTAGAAGAGCCATTGATGGGTGGGAGCAGGGCATAAGAGCTGGCAGAACCCCAGGCTGTGCACTGGTCCCCCGTGCTCTCATCCTTCCTCTGAGAAGACAGTGGGGAGCCAGCTGGGGACCAGGCCTGGGTGGCACCCTAACATGTCTCCTTTGGCAGCCTGCCCACAGGGCCATTTTGGCCCCGGCTGTGTCCACGTGTGTGAGTGTGGGGAGGGAGCAGCCTGTGACCCTGTGACAGGTGCCTGCACCTGCCCCCCTGGGAGAACTGGCACCCAATGTGAGCTCGGTGAGTACCCGCTGGCGTCCACTGTACAGCCCGAGTGGTTCTGGGGGGGGTGGCATATGCAGTACACGGAGCACCAACAGCCCCACGCCTGCCCGTATGACACAGCCCTAGAGACTTGGACCAGTAATTGAGTCTCCATGGTTGGTGGAGTTGGATGGGCTGGCACCCAGGACTCCCAGTTCATAGCAGAGGGGCCAGGTAGCCGTTCTCTCTCTGAGGATGGAGCCAGGCTCCTGGCTGAGATCACGAGGGGACAGGAGCCTGTTGACCCTTTCCACTGGAACCAGTGAGTGGATGTTAGTAAAGGGAGACCCAGGGCACAGGCCATGGTAAAGAACCAGAGCCTGGGGCATTGTTAGGGTTGGTGATGTAACAGCACACCTCGTCTCTGTGGCCATACCTGTTAGACTTTGGCCATCTGCCACCCTCTGATGACCCCTCTAGTTCTCAGGCGTGGGGGCCATTCATCTAGGGCCTGGCTGCTGTTGCTTCCAACCCTGGCTCTTACTGGGATGGGGTCTGGCCACTTCACCCCCAGCAAAGAATGGATCCACCACTGCCAGCCCACGTCCACTGACACCTACATGTTCCTGGGCATATTCACTCACCAGCCCTCAGGGGGCCCATGTGTGGTCTAGTATGCTGCTGCCTCCTCCAGGAAGCTGCTCTTGATTGCACCCCAGCTGACCAGGCCAGGCACTTGGCAACCCTGTAGTGCCATGTACAGGACAAGTGCCTGATCTGCTTGGTCCTGGCTGGGTGTCAGCAGTGGCACAGGTCTGCCCAGGGCAGAGATCTGCATGGGCAGGGGGCTACTAGAGATACTTGTTAGTGAACGTGGTCTCCTGGGGCAGGTTCCGATCTGGGCTGAGCTCCACGCATGCCTCCTTCACCCCCAGGTTGCCCCAAGAACCAGTTTGGCATGGGCTGTAGGAGCATGTGCCCCTGTAGAAATGGGGGGATGTGCCATGCCACCAATGGCAGCTGTGTCTGCGGCTTGGGCTGGACAGGGCTGCACTGTGAGCAGGGTGAGTGCCTGGTCCAGGGAAGGGGACTGCCCACAGACTGGGAGAGGCCCTGGCTCTGGAGGGGGAGCTGGGCCCCTGGGCGCTGGACCTCTGTGGGGTGGGCTAAGATTCAAGGTGACTTGGACTAGGCACAGTTGGTGGGACCAGACCTGGGCCCCAATTGTCTACCTCTATAAAGGGGCTCACCTGCCCACCTTCTTACCAGCCTGCCCATCCGGACGCTACGGGGTTGCCTGTCGCCTAGAGTGCATCTGCCAAAACGGTGCAGCTTGTGAGCCCACTACAGGGGCCTGCCACTGTGGCCCTGGCTTCTACGGCCCTGCCTGCGAGCACTGTGAGTACAGGTGTGGGGAGCGACCACTGCCTGGGCTGTTGGAAGCTGTCTGCTTGGGGCCTGAGCTGGCCAGAGGCTCCCAGTAAGAAGTCTCTGGCCAGGAGTCCAGTTCTCCCCAGGTCCAACACTGCCACCCCTCCCACCCTAAGCCCCCAGGTGAAGACACGGAACCAGAGGCTTGGGGGGCAGAGGGGACTTCTCATGGGTGTCATTAGTTTATCACTCTGGGTAAACCAAGGTTGAGGAGGTCCTTCCCTCACCAAGTTCTAACTGAGGTTCCACCTCAGCCTGTCCCCCCGGCTTCCATGGGGCTGGCTGCCAGGGGACATGCCAGTGTCAGAATGAAGCCCCCTGCCACCCTGTCACCGGACAGTGCCTCTGCCCCGCCGGCTTCCAGGGCCAGTTCTGCCAGCAGGGTGAGTGCTCAGTGTGCCCTGGCCCTGCTCAGTCCTATGGTGGGGGTGATGGAGCTGAGCCCCCTGCCTCCCACAGGCTGTGAGCCAGGTTCGTTCGGGGAGGGCTGCCAGCAGCAATGTGCCTGTGCGGGAGGAGCATCCTGTCACCCTGTTACTGGCTTGTGCCGCTGTCCGCCAGGACGCATGGGGGCCACCTGTGACCTTGGTGAGTCTGTCAGGGATGTCTGGTGTGCTGAATGGATCCTCCTTGAACCCTCTGCCTGCTGGCATCACATTGCCTGGGTCCTGGCGCCCCCTCTGTGGCCCTGAGTGGGGTAGGGGTGGGAACCAGCACTCAGATTTTTCGGGGTCCATGCAAGGAGCTACTGCTCGGTGCTGCCCAAGGCTAGATCTGCCTCTGGCCACCTAGAGGTCTGGAGGGAGCCTCGGTCTTTGGTGGGAAGAAGACCCTCCTGGGCGGTTGACTTAGGAGGCCCATCCCGAGGGGGGAGCCGCTCCTGTGTGGGTGCACACTGACCCCCTTGTGTCCCGGGAGAAGTATCACTGGTCACTGGGTGCTCATAAGGTTGCAGTCCTAGTGGGGGAGGCGGAGTAGGTTGACCTACTTCTCAGTGACCTGAGATGCCAGGTTCCCTCACAGTCCTTCTCCCCACCCCCCAACAGAGTGCAGAGGGGGGCGCTTTGGGCCCGGCTGTGCCCTGCACTGTGACTGCAAGGGCGGGGCCGACTGCGACCCGGTCAGTGGGCAGTGTTTTTGCTTGGATGGCTACACGGGGCCCAAGTGTCGAGAAGGTGAGTGCAGACCTAGACTGCATCCTAGCTCAGTCCTACTCTGGCTCTTAAACTCGCGGCCTTCAGCCTTGAACAAGCCACCCCTACTCCTACACAGTGCTAGAGGATTTGCTTGGCTTGGGGCCCCCACAATGGGCCCAGTTTTGTGTGTGTGCATCTTGCTGAACCTCTCGAAGGCAGCCATGGCCCCAAATTAAGAGGGTGGGAAAGGATTGGAAGGCACTTCTGCCCCTATATATATATGTACGTGTGTGGCTTTGTGGGTTAATGCGCCAGACTGCAGAGCTGTTTGAACTGCAAGGTCGGCAGTTCAAGCTCACCAGCTGCTCCTTGGAAAGCCTATACATGGTCACTGTGGGTCGGA